TCTTGGTGCTGTGCCCCGCACATTCCCTTGTCGCAGCTTCTAACCTGCTCTGCCTCTCGTCCAGGGAAAGCTGCTGGTTGTCCTGGTCCCCTCCCAAAGCAGCTGTTCAGAAAGCACTTCCTGGCCGACAGCTGGTGGCTGAGGCTCTCGGTCACTTCACTCGGGCCACAGTCCTGCTCTGCCGGTCACGCGTTCTTTCCTGGGTTTTGCCCGGCTTTCTGGTTGTTGGTGGCCAGAGGGCAAGTCCAGGGCCAGGAATCGGTTGTGACTAGAAACGGAGTCTCCAGGTTTTGTGGATTTTGTTATAAAGGCCTGAAAAGTTAACTCCCAAAGACAAGTAAATCCAACCCAAAGAAGTTCATTATTGGCTTTGGTTACAACCTGATTTATATTTTCAAAACTTGTGTACAGTTAGGAAAAGTTACTTGTTGAAACTCTTACATTTTCATTTTCCCGATAGTCACTTTTTATTGCTACGCTGCTGTGGTTTTATATTAGTGACAAATGGTTTGAAGCCTCTTTGGCAAATGTCTAGTCAGGTTTGAGTTGGAAGACAACAGGTAGCACTTACTGAGTGCTGAGCGCTTCCCTGCTGGGCAGCTGTCCCTGTGAGTCCCCACCACAGCCTCACCATCTCGGCAGTTATTAGGCCACCCTGAAGTGAGTGGCTTGTCGGGGCGCACACGGGACGTCCAGCCCACGCTGAACCACTGTGCTGCCCTCTCCCAGGTGCAGCATGGGGTGTGRGACAGTTAATAGAGGATGACGTCACCTTTTCACATACAGGGACACGATGGTAGGGACATTTCCAAAATCTGCTCTTGAACTGTCATCACTATAGCTTGAGTTTCCTCCAAGGAAACTCCTGTTGAGGATTAAAACATCGTTTTTACTTTGGGGACTTCGTGTTGGTTTTTCATCATTGTCAGGCAGCATGTCACTGATGTGAGCCATTTGCCATCTGAGAACAAGGTAGCTAATTTGGAACATGTGGCTTTTGTTAAAGAAAATTATGGCGCTCATCTTTAAGCTTAAAACTCTTAACTACTTTGCCAGTGGAAAGCCAACCTTCTGTGGTCTAGAGTCCCACGGTGTCTCCTCACACCCGCCCGTCGCCTCACCCTGAGAGCCATCCATCTCCTGCCATGACTTCCCTGCTGGGTCCTTTGGCTCCTCAGACATTGCGTTTTCGGCCCCAGGGTTCATTCTGGCACTGCTTCACATCTTCAAGTTCTCTTCTCATTGTGATCATATTTTTCTTTACATCCTCGTGCACAGGCCTCCTCCCTCTGACCTTTTCCTATATCAGTCCCTCCACAGCAGCCACCCTGGCTCCCTCTGTGCCTCGAATGTGCCACACTCCACTAACCACAGGGCCTTTGCACTGGCCGCTGTCTCTGCTTAGTTTGAATCTTCTTAAACAAGCTCCTCTTCAGCACCAGCTCTCCTTCCCGGCTCATCTCCTTGGAGCCTGGAGCCTTCCAGCCCGCTGTCCAGAACCCCGCCCCTCCCCAGTGACTCATATCCAGCTCCACTTCCTTCCTGCACACCTGGTAGTATATGGAGGTTTTCTGTCTTGTTGGTTTTGCTTCCTGTCTGTCTCTCTCACTACATTAGAATGTCAAGCTTCCCCGCCCAGAATTTCACATGAGCTAGGTACATGCTCTACCACTGAGATGCATCCCCAGTCCCCAGGACAGGCCTGCTCACCACCATGTCCCCTTGGTGGCCAGGACAATGCTGACATCATAGAATGCACGTGGCCCAAGTTCTGTGTGCCTACGAGGGCAGGGGTGCCCAGGTGTCACCTCTGCCTAGAAGGAACCCTATTGGGGCTGCTGCTGGGTTCCCTGCCTTCAGTGGGGTGCTCTTGCCTTGCCTTCGTCATTTCTGCACCTGATCTACCTACTGTGGGCTGGTTCCTGCTGACTTGGCCAAGCGTCTGTCCCAGAGCCTAACCCAGGCCTTGCCCAGAGCAGAGTCGCTTCGGAAATGCTTGTTAAATTAGTACTTGGAGAGGCAGTGTGATTGAGCTGGCTGCTGGCTCGGGAAGCAGAGTTCCTAATTAGAGCTTTGCGTACCTGCTTGCCTGGCTGGCTTCGTTCCTCCCCTGTCCCTGGGGGAGATGCCAGCCCCTGACATTGCAGGGCCCTCCCCCAGCTTCTGCCCGAGAGGGCGGAATCAATGAAATCATGGTATGTGTCCTTAGCAAAGGTGCTGAATGAGTACAGGTGATGACATCGGTGGTGGTTATGATTATGCTGAGACCTGTGCTGCACAGGGGCCACAGAGCATTTCAGGAATTGATCGTCAGGTGACTGTAAAACACTTTGCAAGTTAGTCACATCAGGCGGATGGAGCTGGTGGCAAACTGCATGGAGTTGGAGGAGGCTGGGGGACAGGGCCTCGGGGGTCTGCACAGTCCTCTTTACGATGGATTTGTTCTCACCTGCTCCAGATGATTCCTAACCATGCTATTGAGATCGGAGGCTTGTGACATGCAGAAGAAGACCTAACGATACATTTAGGGGGTTAAATGGCATTGGAAATCATTAACGAGACAAAAAGCTATGATTTCCCCAGATTAACATGCAGGTTGGGGTTTGGCTGAAATTCATTGTTTTGGTCTCCAGCCCAAGCATGCTAGAGTCATTATATTGTCATGTGGTAAATTAGCTGTTCTTTAATACAAGTAATAAAAATTAAGCCTAAGAGCTACTTTAGCAACGCCTTTTACATATCCCAAAACAGTATTCAAATGCCGTCAGCATTTAGTCTTCAACTGCAATGAAGTTTGGAGCTGAACATTCAGTTCGTTCCCTGTTCTGTGACCGGCGTTGCTACTGAGGCATTAACCTCTAATAGGTTAAGTCAAATGTAGATGCCACAGTGAGTAATTAGGAGATTACCAGAATTTTCATTTACAGTACAACACTCTGAAAATTTGTCTCAAGGTCTAGTTGCCATTCACTTGGTAACACGTGACTTATTTTCATAGGTCCCCGATTCCTGGCTAAATTGCCCAGAAGCTATTTTTTCCCTTTGGAGCCAACACAGTGGGTCCTGTCTAGTTGAAAAGAACCGGCTGGAAATGTTGACAGGAAGGGGAAGGGCCTGCAGTGTGGGGGCTTAATTTTTTTAAATACCATCGATCCTAGCTGTCGTGGGGGAAAGCCCGTCTGAGTGGCCTGAGCCACGTACCCAGGCTGGCTCTGCTGTCCTTCCCTGACTGGGGACCAGTGCACACCCTAGGTCCAGGTGGAAGAGGCCGAGTCCTTCAGGTCATTTGCCCAGCTCCAGGCCATGGAGGGAGGGGAGGGGCGAAAGGTTATCCAGAGAGGAGCTGAAATTTTACAAAAYAAAGAAAAACATCCCACCTGGCAGGTTTCGAGAATGCCATTTGTCTTGTTATTACTACTCCTGCTTAGTAGAACCATGTCCCCGAAATAGCTTTTGAGTTCTAATTTAACATAAATATTTTAATGCTGATTAAAATAATCATGAAAAGTCATAAATGAGAAAGCCGTAGACATGCGCACGCGCAGGAGGAGTGCCCAGCGAGCGGGCAGGGCTGTGCGTGACGGGCAGTGCCAGGGGAAGCCCGCACGTGGCTCTCCTGGCCGGGCCTGCTGCTGTAAGCTCCGCAGGGACAGCGGCACCGCCGAGAGCTGCTGGCCCTGCTGGACGCGTTCACTGAGGCAGGAGACCCAGCCCTGGTTTCCAGGAACCAAGGGTGGTCTAAAAAATTAATGACTCTGGCATTTGAAAATTAAGCGAGGCCTTGAATATACACCCTTGTTGATCCGCCGAGCCCCGTGTTTAGCATTCCTCCACGGGAGACTAAATCTCCGCAGCCAGCTCACAAGTGACACTGGCGCCCAAGCCAGAAATAAGTTCAATAGTCTTTCCAGGCCCTGTGGATTTGGGTATTCTGCTCTGACGGAGCCTGAGAATCCTAAAGGAAGTGCCTCGCGGGTGCCCAGCAGGTGGATAATAATTGCTCTGTAGGCTGCAGAAGGAACCATGATTCTCAAACTGACAGAACCACATCTCTTGTCTGTCCATCTCGGGCTGTATCCGTGGTAAAGCCGAAGGCCACGAGTCAGCCCTGTAAATTGCACGTCTGCAATCTCCAATTTTGGATTAAAGTCCAGTGTTAAGGGAATTCATAGCGGATAGCATGTTCAGTTGGCCACAAGACCTTGCAGGCCTGGCCTGGATGCTTTTCTGCTCTGTCATGAGCTTGGTAGCCTCCCGGCTTCTGGACACTAGCCTGTAACAGGGTGGTGCTGGGTCACCAGCTGTGCTTCTGTAAGATCTCAGTCTTGGGATCAGCAGCTGCTCCCCCTGGCTCTTCCTGGCATCCTTCATTAGCAAAGCAGGACAGCCAGGAAGAGGGATCCTGTGCTGAAATAGGGTGGCCTCCCACAAAGCCTGGGGTTTCTCTCGTCTCTCGGTCACCTGGCCTGTGCCCACCAGCTAGCCAGGCAACTCTGGGCCCATGCCTCTGCATCCTGGACCTTTAGATTTAGCTTCTGTCCTACGTCTCTTTCCCAGTGTGGGGAGGCTCAGATGAGAAAGTGTCCATTACATTGTTCTACAATCCACGTGCCACTCTTGGAATACTAGGTGTGACTTCCATCTCCACGACAGTCCTCCAGGTTCAGCCATGTGTGGTGGGTTTTCCTGGGACTCCTTCCTTCACTGCCTGCATTTCCCTTCCTGTCAGATCAGAGTGAAGTTATCCCAGTGTCGCACCAGGCCAGAGGGTTGGCAGACACCAGTGAGTCCCACAGCTGTGCCCACCTGTCTTCATACCTTGACAGTCCTGGGGTGGCTCTTCCCTTGTGTCAAGCACTGAGAAGCCCCCCACCCTATCCCAGGCTGGAAGAGAAATGTCCCCAGGGGAGCCAGCAGTGGGGTCCTGCTGGGCGCCCTGGAGGCCTGCTCCAAGCCTCTGCTCCGGAGACCAGGCTCACGTGTGCTGTCCTCCTGTGCAGATCCCGTGCCAGCTCTGGACCTGGGGCAGCAGCTGCAGCTCAAAGTGCAACGCCTGCACGACATCGAAACAGAGAACCAGAAACTTAGGGAGACGCTCGAAGAATACAACAAGGAATTCGCCGAAGTGAAAAACCAAGGTTGGTGGGAGACGGGTTCATTGCTTGGCCTCCTTCTGTTTTCTCTTTTGCCTCCCATGCTGTTAAGACGCCTGTGGTTGTTATCCATGTCAGGAGGCCAGGGTGGGGCGAGAGCAGAATCGTTAAAGAGGGATAATGATGCTGCTTAGCTATTTAGAAGCTAAACTTCTCTCTGCCCAATAACTATGTATGATTTTATTGCCCTCAGCCTGGGCTGATCAGAATTCTTTGAAAATTCCTCTTGTACATCATGTGATACAATCTGCCTTTTAAAAGACTGATGTGTTGCCTCCGGGCGCCACCTGTCAGAGAGCCAGCTCATGATCAAAGGGTCACACACAGCAAGTCATTTAGTAATTGCCGCAGATCCATTACGTCTCCAGACGAGACGCATCCGCACAGGCTGCCGCTTACGCACGGCCTTCCTTGTGGGCCTCACCTATTCATTACGAATCTAATGAAAGAAAACAGCTCCTTGGTGTGGTTGCCCAGTGTCAGCACGGCAGACGGGGCAGAGGTGGCCTGGCTTTTCCTGTCAAGGAGGAACAAAGAAATCTTCCCTGTGCCTAAAACCCAGATGTGTGCAGAGTCCCAGAGCCTCCTGGCTTCCATGTCCCCTCTGGCAGCAGTTGCAAGTTTTCCACTAACTCCAAGTCACAGCTCAGCCTGTTTCTGCCTGGGGACGGCGTGAGGAGTCGGGTAGGAGAGGCAGCCCCCAGCGGCCCCTCTCAGCCTCCTGCTTGATAGGGTTAGGGTTAGGGCTGACGAAGGGCTAAGTGGTGAGCACTGGGGACAGCCCTGGGGGAGCTACCCACTGAAGGTCTCAGGAGAGACTGGGATGGTGTGGGAGGAGCACATGGACAGACAGGCCTGGGTCGTGAGGGCAGCGGCTACCATCCAGGTCTCTGCGTGTCCCACGGGCCTTGGTGTGCTCAGGCCCTCAGGCCAGCAGGGCCTCCTTGCTGGGGCCAAGGAACGGTTAGGGTGGTTGGGGGAACCAGACCAGCTCAGACCACACCCCAGACCCCACCCCAGTCTGGCTCAGGTGGGCCTTGGGGACACAAAGGGACAGCTCTGTCCAGCTTGAAAGCAAGCATTGGGCTTAATAAGCTGGGATCCTTCTGAGAGAAGGTGCTCCCTTCCCCGAGTAGGAGTCATTTCTTGTCAGAATTACCCTGGTCCCAATGTGCAGGATAACCCTGTCCTTCTGGTCTGCCCGGAGGTGATGTCCCACGGCAAGGGCAGCCTTTTTATTTGTTCCCTCAGTGGCCTCTGGCGTCTAATTCCAACAGACCACTCTGGATTCTCRTGGAGCCTCTCTTGTGTGCTGATGGGTGGCACCATAGGTGCCCAGGCCCTGTGGTTTGCCCTGCGCCTTGCCCTGTGTGGCGGTCATCCACTGCCAGGCGTCATAGGGTAGCCGGCCACCAGCCCCAAGAGCATGGAGTGCTCTCTCCCCGCAGCCCCTTTGAGAGCTTYATAAAATGAAATACAACATCCAAGCCCCAAGAATGGACGCTTCAGAGGCAGAGACCTGGTCGGGTCCCTTGGTTGTCACTGCCTAACCCTGTGGCCCTGGGAGGTGGCCCTACCTCGTCAGGAGCTGCCTTCTCAGGGGCAGCTCTCGTCCTCCCCACTTAGGGTGTTGGAGGAGTACCTGAGGGCGACTGGATCCTCAGCCAGCATCAGCTTCTTCTAGAACTTGCTTTGCCAGAAGTTCCCCCTTCTTCATTATTGATAAGGGATTTCCCTAATCTGGGGAAGGGCAGGGGGTCACTTCCTTCTTCTCTTCCCAGCCTGACTGATCATAATCTGGAAGGGCGGGGGTGCACCTAACTTGTTCCCTGTCAGAGCTTTTGAATGCTGGTCAAGTCAGAGCAGAACCGGGTGCATGGCACACGTCTGCCGTCCCGGTGCAGGAGGGTCACGAGTCCAAGGCCAGCCTGGACAACTTAGTGAGGCCCTGTCTCAAAATAAAGTAAAAAGGGCTGGGATGTGGCTCAGTGGTAGAGCCCTTGCCTGTCACTCACAAGATTTGGGGCGTGAGCACAGCCAAAGAGGGTCCTTCTGCCAGCACCCTCTACCTGCTGCTAGGGAGCCTGGGGAGACGCCAGGGAACGCCCTGGACCTGGGTTGAGGCAGCAGCGGAGGGCCAGAGGCGACAGGATGAGATGCTCTTGGCCTGGGCTCTGCTGGTGGGTGAGCAGCCCCAGCAGCTCCAGGAGACCGCAGACTCCTCGGAAGGAGAACAGTTGTCACCAGGGCTGGCGGCAACAGGCACCAACCCTCACACCAGTGCTGCCTCCCGGATGCTCAGCCCACGCATTCCCATGGATGCCTGTGGGTGCAGGTGGGACCACGTCAGCCAGCTGTGGAAAGCCACCCCCTCGTGACTAAAGCTGAGGGCCCTCTGTGAAGAGAGGAAATTGGCCCTTCTCATCATGTCGACCCCCGCAGGCCTTCCTTAGAGGAAGAAAAGAAAGCCAATGGCTCCATCAGACATTTGAGGGCAGAAACAGGGCACCCCCTTGGTGGGTCGTTTGGGGCCTGAAAGAATAGCTGTGTGAGGACAATACTGTGACACATCATTCTCGAGCCATACTGCCAGGCCAAGGTCAGGCGAGAACAGGTCACTTCCAGAGCGGACACCAGACAGGTCCACTCTGAAAATGCCTACTGTGTCCTTTCAAGCCCATGGTGTTTGTGACCATGTGAATACATGGCACTTCTGCCCGTAGCGCTGGGCTGGAAACACCTGTGCAGCACCCAGGCTGAGCACCCGACTCTGCAGGGTGCTGGGCGCACACACTCCACCCTGCCGAGATGGATCTGGAAAAGCAGGCAACGGTCCCCAAGAGCCCTACTCCCTTGGGACTGCAACCACAGTGCTGGCAAATCGAGGTGGGGAGGGACATCTGTAGAAGGACACCCATAGGTCTGAGTTAGGACCCTACTCCACTTGTCACACTTGCTTTAGTTTCCTCTTTGGGTAGTTAAAGGGACTATCAAGAGCTGTGTTGGGCTCAGCTTCCCCAGGTGGCCCTGCCGCTTAAGGGACTTGGCTCCTTCAGGCCCCCATGTGGCTGCCCAAGGCCCTGGCTCTCCTGCTGTGCTCCAGGGTACTTCCAGGCCACCACAGCACCTCAGCAGCCTGAGTGTCTTCCCCAGGCCCTGCGTCATCTGCTCTGCACACGCATCCACATCCACTTGGGTGGCGGGTGCCCTAGCACCCAACCCCAGGGCAGGTCCCCCAGCTGAAGAGACCGCACGGTACCCCTGACCGCCTGGAGCTCCCTGCTGACTGGCCTCCTTTCCACAGAGCCACCATGATGAACTGCTTTCTTTATAAGAAAGTCCTTAAACCCACACTAAAACTTTATTAATCTTCCCTCCGTGGAGGACTAATTTAAGACTCGTCAATAGGGCGATATCATATTTTACCATTGATTTCCCCTCTTTTCTTAAAATGCGCTAGAGAAACCAGAGCGCTCCTTCCCAGCAAAATCCATTGATCCTGCTCATCCCAAACACTTCGAGTTCAGCCCACGTTAGGGAGTGAAAGGTCTCCAAAGGGACTCTGGGCATTGATTTTGTGTCGGGGGACGAGCTGAAGTCTGGAGCGCGCCCGTCCTGCTGGTTCTCACCGCGGAGCCCGCTTCTCTTGTTGGAGTTTCTCTCTTTTCCTTTCTCTCTGCAGAGGTTACGATAAAAGCACTTAAAGAGAAAATCCGAGAATACGAGCAGACACTGAAGAGCCAGGCCGAGGCGATCGCGCTCGAGAAGGAACACAAGCTGCAGAATGATTTTGCCGAGAAGGAGAGGTGAGCGTGGACCCGGCTCGCACGGCAGCCACCTTTACCCTTGACTGTGGCATGAGACAGTTTAAAAAATTCACCTGTGACATCAGCCCAGGGGATAAACAGGATCCYAACGGCTCAAAATTTTGCTTAAAAAAAGAAGCAGTCGGGTCCTGACTTTGTGGGGTGACCTTGAGTGTGACGAATCTGGCTTTTCCTAGTGGTGGGTGGCACCAGGAGATGGGGCCAGAGGATGAGYGCGAGGCATGTGTAGCTGACAAGGTGGCACCTGGTGGCCGAACCTGAGCTAGGTCCTTGCCATGACTGTCCTCCGTGGGGAAGGCCCTAGGCACACGTGAACTCCTCCTGCCCTCCTCAAAGAGGTGGGCACTTCACACCCTCCCTCTCCATGTCTCTCTCTCTCTCTCTCTCTCTCACACACACACACACACACACACACACACACACACACTGCCCTGGGCTTGTTGTTGTGGGCGTCCTGTTTGGCCTGTTTCATGACCTTGGTGCTTCGTAAATCAAGGACTTAATATGGGCAGAGCTTTCCTGATCCAAAAATCTGAAATGTTCCAAAATTCAGAACTCTTTAAGAACTAAAGAAGTCCAGGGACTTGGGGGACCAGGGTGTAGCRCAGTGGCAGGACACATGTTTACCCTGTGTAAGGTCCTGGGGTTTGATCCAGCTCAGAGTTTTGAATTAGGAATGTACGTCCAGTAAAGTCTCTGCACATATCCACAAATCCCCAAAACTCCAAAGTCTGTCATGGGCCCAGGCATTTCTGAAAAGAGCTCCTCAGTCTCTGTTTGTAAAATACGTGGCCATATCCTCTAGCCATGTGCGTTCTAGATTTCCAGTGGCTCTCCGGGCCCAGGTTTCCTGTTGTGATGACTTAATGAAAGGTAGAGCGTTTCTAAAGCTGTAAGCACTGTTAAGCTGGTGGTTCCCCCTGTGTAAGTCATGTTTTTAAGAATTTTTGGGTTGTTATTGAATTTTAGCCYCAGCATAAAGAAATGTATATATCCATTAAACAGAGGTTCTAAGCTTACAGTTGCAAGTTGGAGACAGGCTGGGTCCCTGATGGCAGGTGGTCCTGTTGGGTGGAGTGTTTTCTGCTGGTTTTGTGCACCACCACACACACCCTACAGGACAGGCTCCATAGATCGTAGATATCTGGGCTGGGTATGTAGCTCAGAAATAAAGCGTATGCTCAGAGTRCCCAGTGCTCCAGGTTCAGTACCCAGTGCCACTCGGCACAAGGACGGTGGCGCACACCTGTGATCCCAGCAACTCTGGAGGCTGAGGCAGAAGGATTGCCAGTTCAACCCTGACCTTGGCAACTTAGCAAGACCCTGTCTCAAAGTAAAATACAAAATAAAAAGGGCTGGGTTGTGGCCCAGTGGTGGAGCACCACTGGAACCCCAGAAAAGGAAAGGAAAGGGGGGACAAACTCCCTATCTCACAGGAGCYGCCACAAAGGACTGTTAAACTGAGGTCACTTCAAAAAGAAGAAAAAATGGCAGTGTCCACTAGTCCCATGCCCACTCTGCCTCACAACTTTGCTAGCTGTTTGCAGTACATGTTTCCACAGAGTGACCAAGATGGGGCTGCGCCACACACCACCTTGTGTTGTTCTTTTTTTTTTTTTTTTTTTTTTTWGTTGTACATGGATACAACACCTTTATTTTATTTATTTATCTTTATGTGGTGCTGAGGATCGAACCCAGGGCCTCACACAGGCTAGGCAGGTGCTCCACACTGAGCCCCAGCCCCAGCAATATCATTTTGCAGAGAGAAACGAATCACAGGTTGGCCCTGCTTGAAGTGTCGACCCTGCTAACCAGGGTCGGAGGCAAGACAGAGACTCCAGAGGCGCCCACCCTCCGCCATGGCCTGGCCTCCCTGTCTGCACAGACACAGCCTCTTGCAGTCCTCGAGGACAGACCTAGGCCAATCCTTGGGGGCCACCCAGCCTTGAAGGCAGCATGTAGCCCCTCAAAAAAAAGTAACAACAGGGCTCTTGACAGCTGGTGTGGCTCTGCTCCGAGGTAAATTTCCCTCAAGAACACAATTGGTGCCCGGAGAGATTTCCCCCATGTCGTTGACGACATGCCTGCCTATGGGAACAGAGGAGCCAAAGGCAGGCCAGGGCTACCTGGAATGTTCAATGGCCATAAAAATCATGGTTCATAGAGTTGGGAATAACTTAAGAGAAGTGCCCAACGTGGCATCAAGTGGGAGACTCACACTTGATGAGGTTGGGGTGTGCGCAGCTCCCACAGCTCTACCGCACGTCTGCCCACAGCCAGCTGTGCCCACCCAAGCCAGGAACTGGCTCACCCCAACCTCAGCACCACTGAGCTGGCTTCTCAAGTTGGGTAAAAGGATTCATTATATTGAAAGATGAGAATGACTGACTGTTGGGCCATCAGACTAGATGTTTATTTCCTCATTCTTTATGCCAAAAATATCAAATTGAACCCAGGATTTAAATATCAATAATGAAATCACATACATCTTGGAAGAAAACTTGGATGCATGTTCTTTTTGAATAATTTTAAAATTCAGAAATATTTCTCAGAATACAAGAAAAGTTATAGAAATGTGACTAAAATTTAAAAAACAAATGACAATTAAGTTTTAGACATCAACAAACTGGGAACAGATATGTGCATCGAATAAGACAAGGGCTAATTTTCTATATAAGTAAAGAGTTCTTACAAATTAATAAGAAAAAAATCAACCCTAACAAAAGCGGGCAGAGAAAATAAGCAGGCACTTCATACAGTGAAAAATGTTCAACACTACTCAGCAGTAAAATGTTAAGCTTGATTTTACCCATTGCCACCTGGGCACATGAAACCCTCTCACGTATTTTTTTTTTAAGAGAGAATTTTAATATTTATTTTTTAATTATCGGCGGATACAGCATCTTTGTTTTTTGTATGTGGTGCTGAGGATCGAACCCCGGCCGCACGCATGCCAGGCGAGCGCGCTACCGCTTGAGCCACATCCCCAGCCCCCTCTCACGTATTGTTGGTAGGAGTTTAAACTGATGAGGTATTTTTGTTTCTGTTTTGTTTTATGGGAAAGTCTTTCAATATCTATCAAAACAAAAAACCAAATTGCAGTCTTTGACCATTATAATTCCTCTGTCAGAATTTTATCCAGCAAATTCACTCTTGAAATTATACAACAGTATCTACTTAAAGATCCTCAAGGAAACGTTTTAACAGAAAGAAACTCTGAAGGGTCTGAGTTTCCATAGGGAAGTGAAGAATGGCCACGGATGCAGAGCAGAGGTTTCCAGAACATGGGAGCAAGCAGAGTAGTAAGCTGCACAGGACAGTCTTGTGGTCCCTTATGTACTAGAACCTGAGGGCTGAGGCAGGAGGGTCACAGCAACCTAGTGAGACCCTGTCTCAAAAACTTGAAAAGGCTAGGGATGTGGCTCAGGGTGGAGCACCCCGGGCTCAGTTCCCCCAGCCCCAGAAAGGATGGAGGAGTAGGAAGTCCATAGTTAATGTCACATGTCGTTGGTATGATTGCACCGTAGCATGTTTCCTGTGCTCTGTCACCCTGTGGTGGCTTAGGGGTTAGTTTTCGTTCTGCTGTACTGTTCTGTTCTGTTCTGGGAGTTCATTGTATTATGTTACATATTCATTTATATTTCATTGTAGTATATAAAATATTATTTTCTTATACTGTGTTGCATGTTGGCTTATATTATACTCTAGTGTGTTACTTATTACACTGAATTTCTATACATGGAAAATATTTTAGAAAAATAMAAACTATCCAAGGAGTAGAAATGGAGCCAAAGAAGAGAGGACATTTCCACACTCATGTAAAATTTGATGTTTTAAAAAACTCTGAGCCTATCTTAGATTTATAATTGAAATTCATGGAGATACTAGCAATGCTTTCCTACAAGTGATGGAAATTTGAGTGATTTTTTTTTTTTTTTTTTTTAGCTGTATCATTTCTCCTTTTCTGTATTCCTGGGTTTATTATGTTGAGAACATATGTTATATTCATATGATGTAAAAATAATAAGCTTATTTTTAGAGCTTTGTGCAGATTAGGAGGAAGGAATGCCGGCGCTGACCAGGGAATCCGTGTGGAGATCATGGGAAACATCACTATGTGGGATGCAGCTTGAGACGTTCACAATCTTCCCATTTGGCACCACAGTCGCATTTGCATTCCATTATAACCRAGATGGGACAGCTGTCACATCTCTTTAGTACATCCTTTATCCCAACAAATTCCTTCTTTGTGTCAGCAGAATGTAAATGTATCACTCTTCCTGGGCTAACTTCGGGAAACAATGAGTGCATGATGATGGCATTTCTTCCTTTTTAATATCTGGCATCTCAAGAACAAGTTGCATTTAGGATAACCTTCCACACCAATTACCGCACGTCAAGTCCTCCGTGCGCCCTTCACGTTACGTAATGTGCGATTGCAAAGCGGGGGCTGGGAGGGTGGCGAGGGGGCCCCACAGCACCCAGGGCATTGAGAGCGACAGCTGATGGGGCGCCTGCTACCAGCTGTGCCTCCAAAGGAGCAAGCTGATGGGGGCAGCTCCAGGACACACCAAGCGTCCAGTTGGTGAGCAAGGTGACCAATCTGGCTCCACTCTCTTACTTTTCAGACAGCTGCAAGAGACTCAGATGTCGACCACCTCGAAGCTGGAGGAAGCAGAACACAAACTTCAGACTCTGCAAACAGGTTCGCTCCCCTCCTCCCCGGTCAGTGGGTGCAGGGCAGGCTGAAGAGACTAGACGCCTCCCGGCCCCCACCTGTCACCCCTGTGGAGCCTGCAGGGTCTCGGCGCCCGTGCACAGCGCCTCCAGCCCAGGCTGCCTTCCCCTGACTCCATTAGTCACACGTTGAGCTGTCAGCGTGGAGTGGGAGGATCTGCCGTTTCCATCCCTTCCACCACCATCCTTTCTTCCTGCTCTTTTTTCCAACAAACACATCTAAATCACCAAACTGTCAAGGACTGACATTTCATTTAGAACAATAATAGGGGGAAAAAAACTTATTTCTACCCTAAGTTAAAGAGAACAGTAATAGCAGAACCTTTAAAATTTAACAGATACCAAAAAAGGTTATGCTAAAGTTGGCAGTTTCTTTAAACTTCTTTCTTTCCTCCCTTTTCATGTCTTTTTTGAAAGGGAAGCAGCAATGTATCTTCAATTTACATGTGGGAAGGAACAGTGGAAGCCATCGTAATCCAGGTTAAAAAAAATGACAGGGAGAAAATAATCACAAGCAATTTAACAGACACGGACAACATCAAGCAGGCCTGGGGACCATGTCAGCGGTGGAGCCCTGGCCTTGAGTGCACCAGGCTGCGTCCCCTCCCCTGCACCACAGATTTGAAAAAGGATACATTTGTCTAAAGACCACCTGTAAATCCTGGAAAASAGAGAAACAGTCCAGCTGAATAATGAGCAGGGATAGGAACACACAATTCACAGAAACCATGTAAAYGGTTCACACACATGAGAAAAACTGCTAACTGTGTGGCCGTCAGGGAGAGGCCGTCAGTGAAACCCCGGGAAGGTGGTCTGCCTGTCTGACTGTGGGCAGCTTTTTCTTAATTGGTAAAACCCAGTGTTGGTGAAGGCTTAGGAGAAAGGTCACACTCAAGTAGGGATGGGAGCTGCCTGTTGGGAGGCCAGCAGGGTCGGGTGGTGGAAGGTTCAGCGCTGAGCTCTCCCCCAGTAGCTGTGCCTCTYGGACACCTGAAGGTGGAGCTGGGTTTTACTGTGGTCACCAGTGTCCTGACATGAGAGCTTTCCATGCCACTCGGCCAAGGCAAAGGGGTGATCTCAGAAAACGTTCCGATCCTCCCATAGGATGGGAGGCAGGGAAGCATGTCCCTGTGTATGTAGACAGCAGTGGCCATGCAGCAGTGGAGAGGTGTCCTGAGAAAGGTGCCATCAGGTGATTTTGTTGAGATGTGAGGACGGGAATGTCCCTCACACAGACCTCTGGGCACAGGTCCGTCCCTTAACAGTTGCAGCACGGGGTGTGTGAAGCAGAGGTAGGCAAGGCCGCAGCCAGGTCACCTGCGCACTGTCCTTACAGCTGACTTCCATAAACAAGGAGAATAAGGATAAAAGTAGAACACACTAAACACACAACCAGCCACACACTGTGATCACGGGTCACCCACTGGGCATGGCGGTATATAGTACATTTTCATACAGCTGAAAAGTCACCGTGGGGCATGGCTGTATGCAATTACATGTGGAAATATTTTTGAAACAGAGACATTTTAAAACAGGAAATCTACATAGTAACTATCAGTTCCCTAGGAGGCGCTTGGACTGGGCCAGGTAGAGCTGTGGCGATGCTCTGTCCCATTTTTCCTGCCTTTGTCCTCTTGTCTGTTTTGAAATGGGGACGTTTTACTTGTGTATGTTCTTTTATTTCATTTGACTTAAGCAGTTAATATCTTACCTCATGTTTTCTGCCCTTGTCTTTTCAGCCCTGGAAAAAACTCGAACAGAATTATTTGACCTGAAAACCAAATACGATGAAGAAACTACTGCAAAGTAAGTCCCCTCGTCACACTGTGTCCCAAGAGGTTGGCTTAGTGGGTTGGGAGCGTGACCTGTGTCCCAAACAGGGACACGGCGCCATCCSCACATGACCCCAGGCTCACATGCTCCCTGGCCGCCGCCACTGCAGCTGCTCCTCTTCCTTGTGGCGGAGGCTGCTCAGCACTTCACCATTTTCTAAGAAGGTTTGGGGAGGACTCAGCTTGGAAATGTGGGCGTTTCCTCAGGAGCTTGGCCCGGCAGAGGGAGTCCCCTGACCTGGGCCGAGCCCTCCCCCAAGCCCTGTAGGAGGAATCGGCCACTCCCCATGCTCTTGTCATACGCGACAGAGCCCTGCAGGTGCACATATGTGGGGACACATTGGTGAGCAGTCATGCAAGGCTCACAGCCTACCTGGCTCTTGTAGGGGGACATCAGAGGGAACACTTGCACATACCCTGTCCCAGATCCCCCTATGCTGGTCACTGGGATGCCGGAAATAAGATTGCTGTAAATCCTGGGATGACGGCAACAGAGACTCTCTTGGCTGTGGCCACCTCTGCTAAGTCCAGGTGCAGTGCCAGTCTTCCCTGATCTGGAAGGCTCCTGCCGAACCCCTGTGCCCAGCGGCAGCCCCCTGCTGTGGTCCCGCAGAGCTCCAGYGGCCTGGTGGGGGCTCTCCTCCTCGGGGTGGTTGCAGGTGCTCGGTGTCGTTCGGCCCAGCACACTTGCCCTGGGGCTTGGRGGGTGCTGCTGCGTCCACCGTCCTTGGGACACTGGGGGGGAGTGGGCTCTTGACCCTTAGCTCTGGGTTGTTCAGAAAGCCCAGCTCCGCAGCCCTTGTGGGTTGAAACTGCCACGTGAAGACCAAACGTCAGTCCCTGCGCCCTGGCAGCCATCTTGGCTGATCTGAACCACGGGAGCCACCAGGTTGTTTGCCCTTGTGGTGTGGGGACAGGGCTTCGTGTAAGTGGGATGAGCGGGGCCGAAGGGGCAGTGGTCGGCATTTCACAGCGCCGCCCCTCTGCCTTGGTGGTACTTCTGCTGTCCTGGGGGCAGCCACAGCCCGGGACACGGCTTCTGGGGCTGGAAGGACCCCTGTGCCACGAGCCCTCTTCTCTAGAACCCACAGCCTAGGAGTCCTCCCCCTCAGGAACCACAGCACTGCCCGCACAGGACGCGGCCCGTCCTACACCTCGGGGTCCCTGTCACCTTTCCACCAGCCTGTCACCCTTCTCTCCTGTTACTCCTGCTTGGATTTCAGGTTTCTAAATAAGTCGTTTTCTTCAGTAAGTCTGATTTGTAGAACCTGTATCCTTTCCATCTGAGGCGTTCAGCATTTGTCTGGGATCTCGGTTGTCTCCGGGGTTTCTCTCTAAACGGTCTGAGGTGGATGGTGTGCGCGCGACGTCGCGCTTCTCTCCCTCTTTTCCCATCGCCTGCTGCCAACGTCTGTCCCTGCATGGCTGTGGTCTGATAGCACCACAGGTTCTCATTGCTCTTATCGGGACATCTTGAGGATCTATGAGCAGCCAGGATGTACTTCATTATGCACTTTTTAAAAAACATGTCTTGGTGGTGCTGAGGATGCGGGGAGCAGGGCGTCTCTCATGTTGGCAATGGAGCACTGCAGTGCCAAGGGTCCCCCAAAACAGGACAGAACTGCCATCTGATCCAGAGACCCCAACTCTGGGGACATGTCCATCGCAGCATCATGCACAAGGCCAAGAAATGGACGTCACTGCATCCACGAATGGGTGAAGCAAGCGGGGAACACACAGTGGATTACCCTCCAGTCCGGGGCGAGGGCAGTCCTGTTCCCAGGACAGCACAGTGGAGCCTGGAGGAGGTGCTGGATGAAGCAGGCTGCATGGGGACAAGGCCACTCGACCTCCCTGACAGTGAGATCTGGGAGAGCTGAGCTCAGCAGAGCTGGATGGGCTGCTGGTGACAGGGAGTGAGAAGCGCTGGCCCCGGCCGGGTTCAAGGTTTCAGCCGAGTTGTGAAACATCGTACGGCAGGGGTGGTCGTCCATCGAGGTGCTTACTGTGCTTTAAGATCACTTACAGAAAATTTCTGTTTCCCCATAGAAAACAATAGTTAAGGTCCCAGCAAAATTCAGGGCCAGCCTCAACAACTCAGCAAGGCCCAAAGCGACTTAGTGAGACCCTGTCTCAGGAAATATAAAGGGTTTGGGACGTGGCTCAGTGGTAAAGCACCCTCTGGGTTCAGTTGCCAGCACCAAAAAGAGAAAGTAAATAAATAAGTGAGGTTACAGAGAGGAAATTAAATGATTCCTCATCTTTTATGAAACATGGTGTTGTATCACATAAATGTGTAGGCAGGTATGATTTGTTCATTCAAAATATTTTATTTAAAAAAAAAAACTTGTGTGCCACCCTCGCTAGGCCACTCGAGTGATTTTTAAGCTGCCTGCTGTGTTCTAATGTGAATCAGTTCAGTGAGTGAGGACCAGCAAGTCAGGTAATAGAACAGAACAGAAAACAAACCAACAGAATAGAAAGTGTCCTGGCACATGGTTCATGTAAAGTATCTTTTGGTGACACTTCAAAATTAGGTATCTAAATCTAAAAAATAGAAAACTAGTTCTTGGGACACAATGGGAAAGGTGCTTCTGTCCACACATCAGGACCTCATTTAAAAGCTGCTGCTCCAAGGGTCACAAGAGCTCACTCTCCAGAAGCCGGTGTCTCCTATCCTGCTCTTGCTGTCACTGGCAAAGTTTGGTTAGCCGTGATGTCCACCCACTTGGGGAAAGAAACTGCCTGGTAGCATGAAGTGTTCCGGAGTGACCGCTACGCACACCACTTGCCACATAACAGCTGGTTGCTCCGTTGTTTGGAGCCACGGTGTCTTGTTTTCTTCTTGGGCAAAAAGCCACATGGAAAATTTGCTTTTATTTAGCGGGTTTGTTTTAGGAGTCAAGGTCAAAGAAGCAACTGAGAATGGAGTTCCTGGAGGAGGAGCCGGAACAGAGAGGGCTTCAGTTTCCTCCACTCAGGTTTTCAGCTCTGGAAGAAGGGAATGTGGCCACTGGGGGCGTGAGCAGGGGCGGAGCCAGAGAGCAAGGGCAGGCTGTCTCCTGTTCCCACCCTCTCAGGTCTTGCTACTGGCCAGGCTGACACGTTTGCTCAGCCAGAGCCACCAGATAGCAAGGGAAAGAAGAGCCAGCTCCCAGCTGAGAGGGCGCAGGGAGAGGCCGGGAGGGTTGGCAGTTACTGTTCATAGAGGGACTGGCCCCAGGGCCACTCTGCAGCAACCGCCTCTGCCATGTTGACAGTAAGAATGTTGAATGTTGGGACAGTCACCTACCTGATGGAGCATGTCACCCAGGGACTCTCAGAGGCTGGTTCTCCCGCCCCCTGGACCACTGGAGAACCCTGGCATTAACCAGGAAGCCGTGGGAGCTGGTGTGGACCCAGTAGCGAACAGTTCTAGCCCCTTCCATCCACTGGTGCATGGTGAGGCCCAAAGATTCTTCCCCCCAAAATCCAAATAAAAATTAGCATATTGCTTGCTAAGTTTCACTAAACTATGGGAAATTAAGCCAAAAATCCTGAGGATCGGGGCTGGGAATGTGGCTCCGTGGTAGGCGCTTGCCTGGCCCACATCCCCAGAACCATACGCACAAGAGTGTGGAGGTTGGTGATTCTGTTCTGAGGATACCTCCAGGACATGGTGAGGTGGCCGTGGCCCTGCTGGAGCTCATGGTGAGAGACTCCGTCTCGCCCAGTGTGAGCGGGGCTGGCGTGAGCGAGCACAGCTGCAGCGAGCGACATGGGCAGAGGTGGGCGAGGCTCCCAGGCAGTGGGTCCCTCCTGACTTCAGCAGACAGCTGCCTCCTTTGGGCTGCGCCCTCTGCCGGGGGCAGATCCTGAGCTTTTGTGGTTCCGTGGGAAGACATCACTGCAGTCCAGCATGGCCACATCTGGGATTGAAGGGACAGGACTGGCTAGGTGTCTGGCAGGGTCCCTGCAGGATGGAGGCAGAGCACTCATGTGGGGACAGGCAGAGGCGAGCCTGTTCCCCAGGTGGGGCAGTGAGGGTGGTGCAGAGCCTGGCGGAGAGTGYTGGCAGGCAGTGCCCAGGCCTGGCCTTGAGCAGATCAGAAGGCAGGGACCTAGGGAGGAGCAGTGCCTCTGACCAGTGCAGCACAGAAACCTCCTCCCTACCCCACCCCGCCTGGGCTCCCCAGGCCACACCTAGAKAGGGGACTGAGGGAGGAGGAGATCTCTGACACCAGGTAGCCGAGGGAACTACCCTGCACCCTTTCCCGGAGGGCTCAGCCTTGACTTTGGTTTTGTCTTTCTGTCCGTCTTCTTCCTCTGGGGTCCCGTGTTGCCCAGGCTGGCCTGGGTTTCCTGGGCTCACACACCCTCTTGCCTCAGCCTCCTGAGTAGCCGGGACTGGCTGGGACTTGAGGCTGAAGATGAGGATCTCTGTGGAGGGGGGGGCAGGCCTATCTGAGTTTCCCATGAACCAGCTGGTGGGTCTGCAGGGACATGGGGCTGGGCTTAGGCGTAGGCTCAGCTGGGCATTTCCCAGGTCAGATGCCAGCAAAAGGCAGCACTGGGCCAGACGCCTACTGTGAATGGTTCCCAAAGTAGTTAGCCACAGAAAGTTCAGAGGAAGGCCTGAGGTAGAGGGGCCGGCGCTGCTCTCTTACCTTTGGAAGCAACTATCTCAGTATTCGGGTCCCACACAAGGCACACCTCTGCCTTCCTGACCCTGGTGTCCTGGGAAAGGTTCATCGTGTCGATGAACCTTGGGGTCCAACCTGCATGTCCTGTTAGCTCAGCGTGCTTTTATTCGTGTATATGAAATAGAAGCCCCTGCAGGACACATCTTTGTACACATGGTCTTAAAACAGTGCTCCTCTGGGCGGGGAGTGGGAGGTGGCAGGGAGGGACTCTGTTTTAGCAGATCGCAGGCGGGAATCAGGAGGCAGGACGAAGCTGGGCTCTGCAGACAGACTGCCCTGCCTCTGTGCCTGG